TGTAAACTCAACTCCTCAAGGAAGCCTATCCCACCTCCACCTAACAACTGACAAGAACTTTTCATTTTAATTCTTCCTTCAGCTCATCCCTCACAGTTATTACCTTTTGTACCACTTGCCCCTATTAGATTGTAAGCTCTTATGAGCAGGGCCCACTGCTGTGCACTGGAAGGAAGCAGTACTAATGTGCGGATCCTGGCGCATGGCACGTGTTACCTTTTGTATTAAGTTATATTATAAGTTACATGGGTTGCATTGGGGTGCGGTGGATTGTGTCAAAGTGTGACTGCACAACGCACTTCTTTTCAGTGTGGTGGTGAGAACTGGCCTTCAAAGGATCAAGACATTTTGTATTTTTTCTGCGTAGGGCACCTCTGCCCAGGACAGTCCCAAAGCACCTTGTGTAGGCTACAAACCATCAAATTTAAATGCAGTTTTTGCCTTTTTATAACCTATATAAAAAAAATATATTTCTGAACCAACAATGCTTGTACAAATCTCTAGCATATTGAAATACCAGATCTCCATCTTTATAAAAGTCAATACTACTCAACCACTTTAGTACTGATCATGAAATGGATCAGAGGTAAGGGTATTCAAACTACGGCCTGGGGACTACATATGGGCTGCTACAGGATTTTATCTGGCCTGCAGCTATGGTCAGTGGCATATCATCAGACTTTGTGCAAACTGAGGATTCGGATTAGTTGGTCTCTTCTTCTAATGGCCACCCTGATGTAAAGAGGGGACACGGATGGGGACCCTGATGTAAGGGGAAACTTTGATATGTAAAGAGAGATTGGAACTGATTTGGGAGTGGGGGGCTTCTGATGTAAAAAGGGGACTCTGATGTGACAGGGAGCCATCTGATGTGAAGTGGTAACTTCTGATGTGAGACAACTGATATGAAGTTATTTATTGGCGCTTATTAATTTCTTGGTGTTTATTTATTCATAAATGTTATTCATTAAACTTTAAAAAAAAAAAAAAAAAACGGAAATATTTTTTTAAAATATACAATGTGAACCCTCATACTGAAAAGTTTGGCAACCCCTGGTATAGATCATTCTTATATTTATTATATACATGTGCATCTCAATAATTTAGAATATCATCAAAAAGTTAATTTATTTCAGTAATTCAATTAAAAAAAGAAACTAATATATTATTTAGATTCATTACACACAGAATGATATATTTCAAGCATTTTTTTCTTTTAATTTTGATGATTATGGCTTACAGCTAGTGAAAACCCCAAATTCAGTATCTCAGAAAATTAGAATATTACATAAGATCAATAACAAAAAAGAATTTTTAATACAGAAATGTTGGCTTTTTAATACAGAAATGTTGGCTTACTGAAAAGTATGTCCTTGTACAGTATAGTATGCATTTAATACTTGTTCAGGGCTCCTTTTGCATGAATTACTGTATCAATGTGCTGTGGCATGGAGGTGATCAGCCTGTGGCACTGCTGAGTTGCTATGGAAGCCCAGGTTGCTTTGATAGCGAACTTCAGCTCTTCTGCATTGTTGGATCTGGTGTCTCTCATCTTCCTCTTGGCAATGCCCCATAGATTCTCTATGGGGTTTAGGTCAGGCAAGTTTGCAGGCCAATCAAGTACAGTGATATCATGACCATTAAACCAAGTATTGGTACTTTCAGCAGTGTGGGCAGGCACCAAGTCCTGATGGAAAATGAAATCAGTATCTCCATAAAGCTGGTCAGCAGAGGGAAGCATGAAGTGCTCTAGAATTTCCTGGTGGAGGGCTGTGCTGACTTTGGACTTGATAAAACACAGTGGACCAACACCAGCAGATGACATGACTCCCCAAATCACTGACTGTGGAAACTTCACACCGGACCTCATGCAACTTGGATTTTGTGCCTCTCCACTCTTCCTCCAGACTCTGGGACCTTGATTTCCAAATGAAATGCAAAATTTACATTCATCCAAAAAGAGGACTTTGGACCACTGAGCAACAGTCCAGTCCTTTTTCTCCTTAGCCCAGGTAAGGCGTTTCTGTTGTTTCTGGTTCAGGAGCGGCTTGACACAAGGAATGTGACAGCTGTAGCCCATGTCCTGGATACGTCTGTGTGTGGTGGCTCTTAAAGCACCGACACCAGCCGTAGTCCACTTCTTGTGAAAATCCTACAAATTCTTGAATGGCCTTTGCTTCACAATCCTCTCAAGGCTGCGGTTATCCCTATTGCTTGTGCAACTTTTTCTACAACACTTTTTCCTTCCACTCAACTTTCCATTAATATGCTTGAATACAGAACTCTGTGAACATCCAGCTTCTTTAGCAATGACCTTTTTTGACTTACCCTCCTTGTGGAGGGTGTCAATGACTGTCTTCTGGACAACTGGTAAGTCAGCAGTCTTCCACATGATTGTGTAACTTACTGAACCAGACTGAAAGACCATTTAAAGGCTCAGGAAACCTTTACAGGTGTCTTGAGTTAATTAGCTGATTAGAGTGTGACACCATAGGGTCGATTTACTAAAATTGAAGAGTGCAAAATCTAGTGCAGTTGTGCATGGTAGCCAACCAGCTTCTAACTTCAGCTTGTTCAGTTAAGCTTTGACAATTAAACCTGGAAGCCGATTGGTTTCTATGCAGAGCTGCACCAGATTTTGCATTATCCAGTTTTAGTAAATCAACCCCCATGAGTCTACAATATTGAACTTTTTCACAATATTCACATTTTCTGAGATACTAAATTAGGGTTTTTCACTAGCTGTAAGCCATAATCATCAAAATTAAAAGAAAGAAATGATTGAAATATATCACTCTGTGTGTAGTGAATCTATATAATATATGCATTTCACTTTTTGAATTGAATTACTGAAATAAATTAACATTTTGATGATATTTTAATTTATTGAGTTGCACCTGTACAGCACAAAATCTGCCAGGGATCCAACTACTTTGGGTAGCCACAAGTCTCCCTCTAGTGGTGACTAGCTGAAGTGAAATTAAATAATCAAATTGTTACTTCCATGCAACAAAATCCTAAAAGGAGCATACCACAGACCAACAATCAGTCTTTTACATCCAATTTCCTCTTGGCTGAAAGATTTACATTTATTTTCAAGAGATATTTTTGTAATATCCTAAAATTTTCAGCTTTCAAAAAAGAAAAATAATCTGGTGTCCCAACCACAACAAATACTGTGCAGGTATGGTCCACTGTTGTTTTACAATACAAAAATTCCCCAGCACACTTACAGCTAGTGAACATAAAAACAAAGTCTAAACTATGTGTATACATAAATATTAAAAACAGAGGTTTTTGTTGCATATATTAAATAAATTTTGCAAATAAATGCAAAGCCACACTGAGTATGGGGCCATAGCATGCATGCTTCACCCGGCAGGAACACTTTCTGAAAAAAAGACAAGGGATGACACTAAAGATCATTGAAACAGGGATGCAAGTAAGTACTGGACCAAGTAAGCTGCACTTGAGAGGCTGAGATCTTGCCTTGAAGGACAACTTGTACCAAAAAGTTACAGTTGTCTTTTAAATAGGTTCCAGAGTCTGATATGAGGATATGTATAGGAGTTGGCAAAACTCTGGACTATGAATTGTCTAGTGACTGGTGGTCTTCGTATAATAAAAGAAATTTTGAAGTTTTCCACTATACTCTATTGAAGGTTGGTGTGTGCTACATACCATGTGCTGTAGCAGTCACATATTTAGGTTCCTGTGAAGAATTTGGATACTGGGAGGTGAATTGCCATACACCCAGAGTGCCCTTCTTAAAGCAGGGCAAAGCTATTAGATTGTAGGCTCTTTTGGTGCCAGTAAGAAAGGAAAAGAGAAAAGAGAGGGAAAGATTGGTGTTTTGGTGGGTGGGGGAGAAAGGAATATGTAAATGTATGCATTGTAAAATTGTGTCTATATAAACTTCTGACAGGTTTAATCACAGCTACAAGGCCACTATTTATAGAGAAGCTGGAAAGGGATTTAGAAGTAATAATTGATGAGGGAAAACAAAAGAGAATATATAGTTAATTCACGGGAATGTAAATATGAAGGAAATGGAAATGAATTATAAGTGTTTAGTAAGATGGTATATTACATGTAGCGAGGTACAATGATACACTTATGGTGGGAGTGTCACAAAATTCAAGAATACTGGGAGGGCATAGTGAATATAATTCAGGAAATAACAGAGGTAAATATTCCTAAGGACCCTGAGACTTGCCTTCTTTTTGGTACCGAGTTTTCGGTTACAAAATATAAAAAAAAAAAAAAACTGAATTATTGTATTATTTAAATGCAGCGAAGGGACCGATACCCAAGTTTTGGAAGAAACAACAGGAACCGAAAATAAAGGATTGGGTAGAAAGAGTGGAGAAGATATATAGAATGGAGGAACTTTACCATATGGAGAAAGATAAAATGGAGGTATTTCGTACAAGTTGGGAAAAGTGGGTACAGTTTAAAAATTCAGAGGTATACCTAGAATATGTGAAAGAAGGAAAAGAAGGAAAAGGGGATAAATATAGTACAGTATAATACCAGTAATAGCTAAGGTTCAGGATTTCTAGAATGAAGTTAAAAATGCATAATCAAAAGGGTGGGGGGGGAATAGGTAAGGGGAGGGGTAAAAGGTCACCAAGATTAAAAGGTTCTTTCTGGGGAGTGTTTTGACAGAAATGTGTAATGGATACTGTCTGTTTTTAGCTATTTTTGTTATTAGCTTTTGTACATTTAATAAGGTGATTTGAAAACAATAAAATATTTAAATTAAATAATAAAAAAAAAAAAAGTAAAATTGTGTCTTATGAAACGATATACTATTGGGTTGTTTTGTAAATTGAAAATAATTCAAAAAATTATAAGAAACAAAAAAATAAATAAAATATGGCTTGTCTGCCAATATTTGCATGACTAATAATGGATCTATGTAAACAAAAGACCTCAGGCTCAGTCCATTCCAGATAGGATCTATTTGCAGTGATAGCTTATAAGACATTCCAATTTACCTTCTGTTCCCGATGATGCTTGGCAAGCGTTGGAGGGCTCCTACATCAGCTGCTAGACCTACGTCCACCTCCTGTGAGGGACAGAGGAGATGGTACAATGTAGCACACCATAGAATATAAAAAAAAAATATTTATCTGTATATAGCACTCACAAATTATGCAGCGCTTTATTCCTTGTTCCTTGAAGGAGCTCACAATCTAATGCCCCAACCAGGACCATTATACACAAACACATATGCAGAATGCATAGAAACTGTATGGGCAGACAAAACTACAACTAAATCCACAGATTTATACAAAGACAAAATGTCACTTACATTAAAACAATAAGGCCTCATTCACACAATATGCAGAGACATGAGTTTTTTGGCAAGCATTCTGCAAGAGCACAAAGAAAACAATTGTCCTGTTAACACCACATTGGTATTGTGCAGATTTTTTCTGCGGAAGAATCTGCAATTTGTATGCAGTTTTCGGAGCAGAAAAAATACTGACATGACATTGTGGTGTAAACAAGGCACACAGAACTGTTCTCTTTGTTCTCTTGCAGTGAATTTCTGAATGTATTTCTGCGCAGAAAATAAACTGATGTGACAATGTTGAAACACACATGAAAACTGATGCAAACTTGTGTCTGCAAGTGAAATCTGCATGGTTTTTCCATCAGTTTATATGCATGTGTGTTGTGAACAAGCAGTTCTAGGACTTCTCTATGTACATTGGGATATCCTGTCTATTAATGCACATCACAGCTAAATATATGAAGGACATTCAAATGAAACCAGAACATTTAATTTTACAGGTATAAAAAGGGATGGTAGCGTGGCGGTACTACACGCAGTAGTAAGCAGCAAGTGTGTCCTATTACTGATAGGCCGCACACATGCCCCAGGCCAGTCCAGGGACTGTTAATCAAGATGGCAGACAACAGTGTTCGTGCGTTCATGGAACAGCATGTGGTGATAAAGGTTCTTTTTAAGGAAGGCATAAAACCCACAGATATCTACAGAAGACTTTAGGCACAGTACGGTGATGAGACACTCAGCCACAATAAGACATTTGAAAATGGTGTAAATATTACAAAGATGGCTGTACGTCTGTCAGTGGCAATCCCAGCCGTGGTGGTTCCCAGCCCACAGCACTCATTCCTGTAAACATTCAGCATGTTCTAACCGTGGGGGACATCTCCCCGAACCCTGGCCTTCCACCACCTCGCTCACCCACACAGCACCCTCCCGCTTCCATGTCCTGCAGCAACCCCTGCAACTTAGTATCTGTCCCCCTGCTCCCTAAAACCACCCCCCCCCCATTTTCGTGTGCACTCCTGAATGCCCGATTGGTGTGCAACAAGCTTACCGCCATCCACGACCTCCTTGTTTCCCACTCCCTTAACCTCCTAGTGATCACGGAAACCTGGATCCAGGCCACTGATTCCACCTCCCCTGCAGCACTCTCTTGTGGAGGTCTCACCTGGACCCACTCACCCAGACCCAACAGCTGTAAAGGTGGTGGGGTTGGTCTGCTCCTGTCACCACAGAGCACCTTCCGAGTCCTCCCAAACCCCCCTCTCTATCCTTCTCCTCCTTCGAGGCCCACTGCATCTGACTATTCTCCCTAACCCCCCTGAAGATTGCCGTAATCTACCGGCCTCCTGGATCCATATCCCGCTTCCTGGATGACTTTTCCTCCTGGTTACCCTTCTTTCTCTCCTCTGAGCTACCCACCATCATCCTTGGGGATGGACCATGATTTCCTCCAACCGCTGCGCTCCCCACAACCTCACAAACACCCCCTTCCCTCTCTCTGACCACAACCTTATTACCTTCTCTATCTCCTGGTCCTCTAACGCCTACCCTTCCAAATGTCATACTACTACCAGCCATAACCTCCGCAACCTGAACCCTGCCCCCCTCCACTCTGCAGCTGATCAACTCCATGACAGCATCCTCCCCCTGTCCTGTCCTGCCCTGACCTGGCTATGACTGCCTATAATAACGCGCTGTCAACAGCCCTTGACTCACTAGCGCCTTTAACCACACGAAACATCAGACCCCGACCACTCCAGCCCTCGCAGACTGATCACACCAAAACTCTCAAACGACACAGTCATGCCCTGGAGCGACTATGGCACAAAACCAGATCCCAACAAGCCTTCACCCGCTATAAATCTTCCTTCCACACCTACACCTCCTACTCTCTCCGTCCCCACCTCCACCCAGCACCTCACTCACCGCCCTTGAGATTGCCAATCACTTCAAAAACAAGATTGACACAATTCACAAGGACATCACTGCAGCTCACACTTCCTCTCAACCTGTCCCCTCTCACACAACTACCCCCTCATCACCCCTCACCCTCGACACAATCCGCAGAGACTTCGTCGCTGCTCAAACTCCCTCAAACTCCCTCCAACCCCGTCCCCTCTCACACAGCTACCCCCTCATCACCCCTCTCCCACGGCCCCACCACTGCTCTGACCTCCGTCCCACCCAACATTCCTCACACTGAAGCCCTCTCAACACTCCACACCTTCGAACTTACTACCATCGAGGAGGTCTCCAAGGTCTTCTCTGATGCCTGCCTTACCACCTGCCCCCTCGACCCTATCCCTTTGCAACTCCTACGACCTCCCTCCCCCTCCATCCTTTGCTTCCTCACCCACATCTTTAATCTCTCCCTCTCCTCCGGCACTTTCCCCTCCCCTCATGAAACATGCACACATCACCCCCATACTTAAAAATCCCTCCCTGGACCCCAATGACCCAAACAACCTCAGACCCATCTCCCTGCTCCCATTCACATCCAAACTCCTCGAGCGCTTAGTCTACACCCTCCTAAGCTCTCACCTCAACGACAACAACCTCCTCGATACAGTCCGGCTTCTGTCCCCTACACTCCACCGAAACTGCCTTACTCAAACTCTCCAACGACCTGCTAACCGCCAAAGCTAATGGCTACTATTCAGTGCTCCTACTCCTTGACCTCTCCGCGGCCTTCGACACAGTCGACCACCCCCTCCCCCTCAAAAAACTACACTCCCTCGGTCTCAGAGATTTTGCTCTCTCCTGGCTCTCATCCTACCTATCACAGCGCTCTTTCAGCGTTACCTATAATGCTACCACCTCCCCCTCACTCCCCCTCTCTGTTGGGGTCCCTCAAGGCTCCGTCCTCGGGCCCCTTCTCCATCTACACCTCCTCCCTTGGCCAACTCATACACTCTCACGGCTTCAACTACCACCTCTATGCCGACGACACACAAATCTATCTCTCAACCCCTCGCCTCACCCCCTCAGTCTCTGCCCAAATCACAAACCTACTGAACGACATATCAGACTGGATGTTGTTCCACTTCCTTAAACTGAACTTCTCCAAAACCGAGCTCCTAGTCTTCCCCCCAGCCCGCACACCACCCCCCCCATTGACTTCTCCATCACGTCCAACAATGCCACTATTAGGCCCGCAGGCCAGAGTACTTGGTGTCATTCTGGACTCCAACCTATCCTTCCAGCCCCAAGTCCAATCATTAACAAACTCATGCAGACTCCACCTCCGCAACATCGCCAAATTTGCACGTTCCTAACCCCAGAAACCACTAAACAGCTCATCCACTCCCTCATCATATCACGGCTTGATTACTGCAACTCCCTCCTCACTGGCCTGCCTCACCACAGACTATCCCCACTTCAGTCAATCCTGAATACGGCAGCCAGACTCATTCACCTTACCAACCGCTCTGTTTCCACCACCCCCCTCTGCCAATCCCTCCACTGGCTTCCAATTGCGCAACGGGTCAAATTCAAAATCCTAACACTGACGTACAAAGCTGTCCACCATACTGCCCCCACCCTGCCCCCCCCCCCCCCCCGCCCCCCCCCCCGTCCCGCTCCCCCTCCCCCCCCCCCCATTACATCACCGACCTAATATCCAAGTACCACCCATCACGCACACTCCGCTCCTCACAAGACCTCCTTCTCTCTAGTTCCCTGGTCTCCTCCTCCCATGCCCACCTCCAGGATTTCTCCAGGGTGTCACCCATCCTCTGGAACTCCCTGCCCCAACCCATCAGACTATCACCTACTCTCCTATCCTTTAGGCGTACCCTGAAAACCCACCTCTTCAGGGAAGCCTACCCCACCTCTGCTAACTTGCCGACCTCCTCCACTCTTCCTACCACTCCATCTCCCACAGCTATTTCCTCCTGTACCACTATCCCCTCCCTCCTAGATTGTAAGCTCAAAAGAGCAAGGCTCTCGAACCCCTCGTGTATCGCATTGTATTGTTACTGTACTGTCACATGTTCTGTCCCCCTTTGTAATGTACAGCGCTGAGTGAACTGTTGGCGCTTTATAAATACAGAATAATAATATATAAAAGTATGTAAAAATTTGAAATTTACATCATGAATTACTTTAAAGTAAAAACTGTAAAAATAATTCAAAATGTATACTAGCTGCTAAAATGCACTATACATTTCCTTTAATAAATGGGATAGTCCCATAAATATTGATTGGCCTAGTACTGAATTATACCTCCACACATATACACACAAGGGGCAATTTGAGAGAAATTCAAAAATGTTTATTGGGGTTTAAAAGAAGACTGGAGTGACTGGTGGAAATCATATACAATCCTCTTGGACTGATATGTCCATAGGCCAGTTAACCTATTGCAATGGATTGTGGAAGACAACTGAATACTCACAGCAACACTATACAAGCGCACAGAGAATATACAGCCTTCATACAGATTGTGTCTCTAGAAATAAAACCTAGTCCTGAGCATTGCTAACCATTAACATCCCAAAAAAGATAAAGCTGAGTAATCGTGTGCTTTGACTGCAGTTGTAAAGATATAGATATCAGACCAGCAGAGGCTCATAATAACCTGCTAATGTACAAAATATGTCAAGGTTATGCAGATCTGAGTTCTGATGTAAAGTTTACACCATATGCATTCAGAGTAGAGATCTGTGTTCTCCCAGGGGATCAGCTTGATCTGGCTTCTGGATATGGCTGTCAGGAAATAAGGATCAGACTCCAAGGACTGTACCTTCTGCCTGCATGTACAGTATGTCATTGCATAGCAACTGGAAGGGTGTTTCCCTCTGTTCAGTGACCTAACCACTAAGGCAGCAAAAATTACAATTCAAGAGGAAATAAAATTACACAAATCGAATCATCTTACCTCTTCCGCACCTGTGCACAATAGGCACTACTATAAAAAAAACTTAAAAGTTTTTTTTTTTTTTTTTAATAGTGTAAGCGAGGGTTATAACCCCTGTAAGTTTTTTTTTTTTTTTTTTTGTGGGCAATCTGAGTCTCCATTGGGGAGATTACCCTTAATTTCCTATCCCATAGCAATAACAGGAAGTAAGAGGAAATCCTTCCAAAGTGAGGGAAACCCTGGTTGTCACCAGAATTAGTTTCCCCATTGGAAGATATTTTTGTTTTGATGACAACTCAAAATTTAGATTTTTTTTTTAATTTACTTTTCACTTTTGGCGGTAATCGTCCTAGGACAAATAGAGTGAATCTCCCTAACGAGGGGGGGGGGGGGGGGCACAGACAGTAATAAAGAAGAGTCCTAATGCCTTTAATCATGCTTTAAGGAAATTATATTTTATACACTTAAGCTATAGAAAAATAAATACATTTATTTTATATATTTATAATTTACTTTTCTGTAGCTTAATTGTATAAAATATAATTTCCTTAAAGTATGATTAAAGGCATTAGGACTCTTCTTTATTGCTGTCTGTACCCCTCGTTAGGGAGATTCACTCTATTTGTCCTGATAGAGATAGATATATATATAGATAGATATATATATATATATATATATATATATATATATATATATATATATATATATATATATATATATATATATATACACACACACACACATATACATACATACACACACATATACGCACACACACACATGCACCTACACACACACACTAGTGCAGGCCATAGACGGCCGATACGTCTATCGGCTGATTTTTCGTCCGAAAAAAAAAACGAAACATCGTTCGTTCTGTAAACTGATGTTGCCACCAATGATTGCGAAAATCGGCCATTTTTCACAAATTTTCCAGCACAACCAATAAACGAAATGAGGAGGAACTGCGAAAATCAGCCAATGCCATTGCCCCACTAACAGTACGAAAATCGGCCGATTATTCTTTCGGACGAAAAATCGGCCGATAAATGAACCGTCTATGGCCTGCATAAATTGCAAAAAGTATTGGGACAGTCCTCCAAATGATTGGATTCAGATGTTCCAATCACCTCCATGGCCACAGGTGTATAAAATCAAGCACCTAGGCATGCAAACTGCTTCTATCAACATTTGTGAAAGAATGGGTCGCTCTCCATGCTGAATTCCAAGGTCTGCAAAGCTGCTGTGACCATCTCGCTGTTGAAGATTTATTATTTTAAATTCTGGAAAATGCAGTGGGAGGAGCCGAGACACCCCCAAAGTTACAGGGGGACAAAAAACAGAGCTTGGGATTAATAGCAGGGAAACCTCGCTGACAGAATATTAAAAACTTAAAGGACGACTAGCGTTGACTGAACCCACTAGATTCCACTTATAGTGAAAATATCACTATGCATGGACAGACCATCGTACTATTTAGTGAATTTGGTTAGATGCATGAATACAGACCCTTTACAATTGTGCAATTATGAAACAAGCAACTCGAAGTATGGAGGTAACTCTCTGCAACATGGTACAATTGATTTACTAAAATTGGAGAGTGCAAAATCTGGTGCAGCTCTGCATGGTAGCCAATCAGCTTCTAAGTTCAGCTTGTTCAATTAAGCTTTGACGGAAAAAAAAAAAAAAAAAAACAAAAATGGAGGCTGCTGCACCTTTTTCAATCTCTAGTTTTAGTAAATGAACCCCGGTGTTCCCCAGTTACATCAAGTTATTTTGATTTAGATTTTTTGCTATATATTTTTGAATTTCAAAATTTATTTTAAAAATGTTTGGTTCATATATAATTGGCTCGAACTTGATATATTGCTATTTCTTGGGCTCATTAAAACAGTACAGCCCTTGAGGGACATTTTTACCCATGTGGGGATGCACAGGTGCTTCATGCATTCCCGTGTAGGCAGTACCATTGATGTCAAGTAAAGTTTAGTCTGCAGTCCGTACCACACAAGTCATTAGTTTGTATTTACCTTAACTTGAAACCAGGCATCCTGCGAGCAGTATCGGATGTCACAGGCAGTGATGAGATTCACACCTGATGGAAAACAAAGTATTACTCACCAAGATACAAATCTCTCATGCAGTCAAATGACAATGTGCACGGTCTCACCTCCTCCAATGCACCCATTATGGATTGCTGCAATCACCGGCTTTGTACACTGCAAGTTAAAACATACAGGTAATAATATGAAGAGTTGTGTACAAACTGCAGTAACAGCAAACAACCAATGGGAGTGCCTCTTTCATTTGTCTGAGCTCAGGAACAAAACATTGTTATTATAGTAAGATAGTCTAACAATGTAACATTGGGCTTGTCTGATTGTTATGACAAAGTTATACTCCATATTTATTTGAAATACCTGAAGTATAAAAGGAATCATGGGTTCTACCTCTTTATTGAATGTGGATACAAAACTCATACTAAAATTCTATATTTATGCTTGTTACCCCACCTCTAACTCATCCTCTACCTGGACCAGGTGGGATCCATGACTGCTCAGGAAGCTAGAGATAATACAACCCAGGCACTCAGTGCTATCCAACTGGCCCTGTCAGGGACTATCCATTGTATCCTATTTTCCACAGATGTGGAGAAATGCTTTGAACGAGAAAGAATTGGCTGCCCTGCACAAGAGAAACCAGCAAAAAAAGTCCCTGATCCTTTTCCAAGATCATGCTGCCACAAAAACGCATGGTGCTGTGGTACTATGCACTTTGGCGCATGGAGAAATGAATATCAGATGTGTGGGTATAACATTAAGAATGAATGGCACCCTTCTTCTAAAAGGCAACGCGTTTCTGTGCATGTCAGAAAAGTGAACAATTTTCTACCTCTATTAAATAAGAAGTTGTAGCTGATACCTTGTATTGTTTTCTTAGCTTGCATGTACCTTTAGGCTCGGTTCACACTGCTGCGACTTGTGAGACCCCTAGTTGCATGACATGTGAAATCCCATGTTAGCCAATGAGAGCTGTCTTAATTAGTACTACTGAAGTCGCTCCGACTTTGGAAAAGGTTCCAGTACTACTTCAAGGTGACTTTTATCCGACTTGTGCCAATAGACTTTAATGGAAGTCGCCTCCAAGTCGGATCCTCATCTATATTGATGTGATTTGGATCCAACATTGCAGAAGATTACCTGTATGCCACGGGTATTAAGTCGCATGGCATGAAAGTCGCATCGCATGAAAGTCGCATCAAAGTAGTACTCAAGTTACCAGCAAATCCTCAGGAAATCATCTGGCAAAGTCGCACCGTACATCGCGTGACATTCAGGGCGTAGTGTGAACCGATGCTTACCGTTTCTATTAGGCTGTATATGTAGAATTGTGATACAATGTACTTATTGTAATCTGAATCACCATGTAGTGCTACTATAAAACAATCAAAAATTGTTTTAAGAAAAAAAAAAATATTTTTGGGTTAATGGGAAATTACAGACAGAGGCTGTATAGAAAGCTCAGCAAATGTAATCTTTACTAAGACTGATCTGCCAGGTGAACATTCAGCTAAAAAGCACGTTTCAATAAAGAATATATTGCTCTTCTTCTAGTATGGTCTATCTTGCTGTTGCCCTTCAAGCCTTCAATAAAGGTTAAAGAGAACCACTAAAGACTGGAATTTTACACTAATCTGATTATTCAGTCTTATATTTATGCAGTCTTATAAATGAAAGATTTATATTTGTTCATTTAGTTGCTTTACTTACCTTGCCTGTGTGACACTTTGGTGGAGTCAGAAGTCATCCGAAGTCTGAAAGTTGCTGCCTTGTCTTACCCAAAACATTGTTTCCCAAAAGTGCATAAAAAGAGCATATCAACAATCTGCTATTGATTGTTCAGTTAGGATCTCCTTTGGCTACAATCTGCTCCTGTTGGCACCTTTCTTCCTTACGTTGTCATCTACTTCTCTTAAAACTTCCAGTATACAATCTAGTACTGCACATTGCAATCTTCTCCCCACACCCACAATCTAGGTCAGTTGATACTTTTGCCATCATAAAGGCCCCATCTCCTCCGCTCTTCTTCTAATAGGTCTCCATTTCATCCTCTGATCTCCCAGGTCTCCACAAGACAAACCTAACTGTCCTTCTCTGCTTTGAAGGCCATTCTCCTGCACATCTCCTAGTCCATTCTTTTCCAAACTCCTATTAAGATTCTTTGAATATCTTCCATTCACACTTTCACCCAAACCCTGATTACATGTACTCACTGTGCTGCATTACCCCAAGAGGGTCTTGATGTAATATTATACTTAAAACTACAAGATTACTTCAGCGCAATCATGCAAACTCCCACCTCCAATGTGATACTGCTGCTAAATGTGTTCCCACATATCCAAATAGTCACAGTTATGCAAATTACAGAGTATTTAATATTATACTTATTCTAGCCCCCTCTCCACCATCGGCTCCCATCTTCTCCTCTATCATCAGCCAGCTTACTACTCCACTCTCCATCACCACTATGACCTCCTACTTCCTCCCCTCACATAGGAGTTGTATATACTAATATATATATATATATATATATATATATATATATATATATATATATATATATACATACACACACACATACATACATACACACACACACATACGCACACATATACATATACCTTCTCAATAGCACTAAAGGATTCCTGATAATCTTTTATCTTCTTGCGCACATTCCAGGCAATTCTTGCAGTGTCTTCCTCTTCATGTTGTAAAAAGTCACCAGCAAGGTCTGTAAGGTCAATACCTATGTAAAGAACAAATATAATAATGTTATTTATAACTTGCCCATTATATAATACTTGTATTTCTGCAGCTAAAGGAGTTAACAGTGTGCCTACCACTGAAACACACACCCTGTGGGACCCTGATGCTCATCCCACAGCCTAATGGGATGTATTGTGTGCACCTTGGGACCATCAATCAGCAATTAGTATTTTTCCCTGACTTACTCAAAGACAGGAATGGAAGGCAATGGATCCATGACGGCTAAAAAGTATACAGGACAATACAAAATGTAAATAATCTAATGCTTGTTTATAATACAATATCAGGGATCTATTTATAAAATGTTTTCACACAAGACTTACACAACTTGCACCCAGGATTCACACATTTTTCCAGTAGAATTTTTTAGAAAAACATGTGCTTCTTGATGAAAGATTTGTGAATCTTGTGGGAAAAAACATTTATAGACAGATCCAGTAATAACAGGAACAATCTTTCTCACATTATGCAGTAGAGCAGTGGTGGGCAACCTTTTTTTTCAACTGAGCCAAATCTCGCCAAAACCATGATTGAAATTTATTTTGAGAGCCACATTTTTAAAACTGAAAATACATCCCCCATAGTAATTCATCCCCCATATAGTAATTCACCCCCCATAGTGTAATTCATCCCCCATAGTAATTCATCCCCCCTATATAGTAATTCATCCCCCATCGTAATTCATCCCCCATAGTAATTCATCCCCCATATAGTAATTCATCCTCCATATAGTAATTCATCCCCCATAGTAATTCATCCCCCATATAGTAATTCATCCCCCATATAGTAATTCATCCCCCATATAGTAATTCATCCCCCATAGTAATTCATCCCCCATATAGTAATTCATCCCCCATAGCAATTCATCCCCCGTATAGTATTTCATCCCTCGTATAGTATTTCATCCCCCGTATAGTATTTCATCCCTCATATAGTATTTCATCATCCTCAGCAAAAACGGACGCCTCTGGTCCAGTCAGGAGGAGTTGAAGCATATAGTATTTCATCCCCCATATAGTAATTCATCCCTCATATAGTATTTCATCCCTCATATAGTATTTCATCCCCCCATATAGTATTTCATCCCTCATATAGTAATTCATCCCTCATATAGTATTTCATCCCTCCATATAGTATTTCATCCCCCTATATAGTATTTCATCCCTCATATAGTATTTCATCCCTCATATAGTATTTCATCCCCCCATATAGTAATTCATCCCTCATATAGTATTTCATCCCTCATATAGTAATTCATCCCCCATATAGTAATTCATCCCTCATATAGTAATTCATCCCTCATATAGTATTTCATCCCTCATATAGTATTTCATCCCTCATATAGTATTTCATCCCTCATATAGTATTTCATCCCTCATATAGTAATTCATCCCTCATATAGTATTTCATCCCTCATATAGTATTTCATCCCCCCATATAGTAATTCATCCCTCATATAGTATTTCATCCCTCATATAGTAATTCATCCCCCATATAGTAATTCATCCCTCATATAGTAATTCATCCCTCATATAGTATTTCATCCCCCCATATAGTATTTCATCCCCCCATATAGTATTTCATCCCCCCATATAGTATTTCATCCCCCATATAGTAATTCATCCCTCATAAAGTAATTCATCCCTCATAAAGTAATTCATCCCTCATATAGTATTTCATCCCCCCATATAGTATTTCATCCCTCATATAGTAATTCATCCCTCATATAGTATTTCATCCCTCATATAGTATTTCATCCCCCCATATAGTAATTCATCCCTCATAAAGTAATTTTACATCCCTCATATAGTATTTCATCCCCCACAGTACTATCCCCCCCCCCCCCCTTCTAGTAAGCCAAGTCCCCCGTGTCAATTCACTTACCTTTTGCGTTCCTCTCGCTGTCTTCCCGCGCCGTTCGGGTCTTCAGGGCGGACTGTGAGAGGAGCCTAGCTCCCCTCCCCTCACGTTCGGCACGCTGCCCCGCCTACACACATCCTGACAGCCACATCCGCGGGCCGGATTAAAAGGTCCGCGCGGACTTTTGGGGCTGCCAACCGAGAGGAGGCAGGGGAGCGGAAGGAATTGACCGAGAGGAGGGAGGGGAGCAGGCGCCCGGCACACAGAAGAGCCGCATTAGAGTGGGTAAAGAGCCGCATGTGGCTCGCGAGCCGCGGCTTGCCGACCACTGCAGTAGAGCAATCTCCACCATACTGTGTGTCAGGACCTGAATCACCTGCTGGTGGCACTGTGGTTCCTAGAGTGGAAGGTTGCAGTTCCAGTGTCGACCAGTGAATGTCTCCCAGCAGATCCCTGTAATCAGCCTCCACCCGATTCTGTCCCTCCAGAACTATTACACTTTGCTTCAGTGTTTCCCTGATGGCCTGACTTTGCACGCTGACTTAACCTGAACCTAGATCTTAATCTTGCTACTGCCCTGCATCCTGTACTCTGCTGCATCTATCTATCTATCTATTCTAGTCCTGGTTCCTCCTTCTCATCTGTTCCCTGGATCTCCAGTTTACCCTATTGATCAGTGTTCTTCTTTTGCATATATTATATATAGTTAGGCTACGTTCACACTAGCCTTGTTTGCAAGCAGCAGACAGGCGTTTGGGAAGCGTTTTTACCGCTTCCCAAAAAAGCCTGGGAAAATTCTAGACATTGCAGCACATGGTGCTGTTCACATGGGAGCGTCAGCGTCACGTCAAAACGGACGCCTCTGGTCCAGTCAGGAGGAGTTGAAGCCTCCAAGTCTATGGTGCCGCTCCGCAAACACCCAGCCGGCGTTTGCGGTGTGACGCGGTTGCGGGGCATTTGCGGAGCGGTAACACCATTCAAACTTCATTACAGGCGGTTTTAACATTTTGAAAACGCCTAGCAACCGCCGCTAAACCGCGCATGCGGAGTGTTAAAAAATGCTCCGCAGATGCCTGACCAACGCTTGTCAAACGCTATAGGAGTGTTTGACAAGAGTTGGAAAAACAAACAGTCAAGTGTGAACGAGCCCTAAGTTTGCTAGTTAGGCTATCAGTTAGGTTGCTAGTTACAGTAGCTATTTTGTTACTGGGTTATGGTTCACTTATATCTTTATGTTTGCTGTGTTTCCTGGTTTTTGGATTTCTTGTTTTGAGCTGAGCAATCTCCATCACAATGCACATGCACCATGCCACGTTGTCAGGGGAGCAGGTGCAAGAACCAGGGTGAGACAGCCAGGCCCCTGATGATGTAAGAAGAGAAGATGGCAGAGCAGGACCCAACATGCAGCAATGGAGCAGCGGATTAGATGAATGTGTGAGTATATTTTTTAAATATAATCCAGTGGACAAGGGGAAGGAAAAAATGGACAGGAGGAGTGAAGTTCCTCTAACCTTTTCCACCCTACTCCAAACCCCTAAAACAAAACTGTGTCTGAACCATACAAACACCAGTTGCTGCTATAATGGTAATGACTGTCAACACGGACCATGACAATAGAAGTGTACTGTTCAACATTTAAAAGCATAGCATTCACCTTTGCAAAAAAATGCCTATGCAAGTAAAGGGTGTTTGTATATAAAAACTAAGTGCAGCTCAGACTTAAGTTGAATAATGTCCTTGTTACAGATGTAGGCCTTTTACATACCTTCCAAAGCCTGACTGGAATACTCCCAGGACATTACCAAGTGAGAGCTGGTTGTTACTGCTCCCCTCCACCATCACAGGAGTGAACTTTTTCTCTGATTCTGACTCCCTCACATGTTCTCTCTCTCCTCAGATGCAGTAGCTGTGAGCTCAGCATTTGAGAACTCATTCCTGTGATGGAGAAGGTGAGCAGTAATGACTAGGCCTCACTTAGTAACGTCCTAGAAACGTCCGGGGAGTATTCCTGTCAGGCTTCAGGAGATACATAAATGGCCTACACCTATAACAAGGGCATTATTCCACTTTAGTCAAAGCTGTACAGTTTGTTTTTATCTACAGACACCCATAATCTGCATAGACAGTGTTTTAATAAAGGTGAACTAACCCTTTAACCGCTTGCCCTCCTGGGGGTTTACCCCCCTTCCTGACCAGGCCATTTTTTGCGTTACGGCACTGTGTTACTTTAACGGACAATTGCGCGGTCATGCAACGCTGCACCCAAATGAAATTTAAACCTTTTTCTCCCACGAATAGAGTTTTCTTTCAGTGGTATTTGATCGCCTGTGTGTTTTTTATTTTTTTGCGCTATAAAACAAAAAAAAAAAAAGGCCGACAATTTTGAAAAAAGAAAACAATATTTTTTGACTATTTGCTATTAAACATGTTCAGTAAAATTGTTTTTTAAAAAAAAAATCAAATTTCGTCATAAATTTAGGCCAAAATATATTCTGCTACATGTCTTTGCTACAAAAAATCCCAATATGTGAAATATGTGAAAGTTATAGAGTTTACAAATGGCAGTACAGATACTGAAATTTTTTTTATTTCTATTAGTAATGGCAGCGATCAGCAACTTATAACGGGACTGCAGGACTGCGGTGGACATTCTGACACTGGGGGGAACTGACACTGTACTAATGGCACTGGACAGGAAGGGGTTAACACGAGGAGTGATCAAAGGGTTAATTGTGTGCAGGGAGTGTTTTACTGGGGGGAGCGGTGTGTGCAGTTCAATGTAATCACAGTGCTCTTGAAGGCTGTGCACAGCCATGCAGAGCAGTGTGCCCATGCCGACAGGGAGGAGAACTGTTAGTAAACAAACCAGTCCTCCTCCCTCGTTGGAGATGCTCGGTAATCACCGGGCGCCGGCGGGTAATCACCGGCCGGGACCCGGTGATTGACAGCTGCGGCCGCGAATGGCAGCAAGGGTAGGGTTTATGTGCGCCCCCTACCTGGTAATGCAAAATCACATATATATGTGATTTTGCGCACCCCTGCCGCCCTGTAGCAGTATATCTGCTATAGGGCGGCGGGGAAGCAGTTAAACTATATGGGTTGTTTACAAGGTGAGGGTTTACATATATTTTAAGGGGATTGAAGGACATTATAAGAAGGCTGAGAAGAGAAGGCTGCAACATCACAGAACAGAGAGAGTGAGTAGGGTTAGCGTGTCAGACAGACAGAAAGACATCAAAGCAAGTATGAAATTCCAGACTGAAATGCTGCTCAGTGCCAGCCTGGTTTAGAATCAAGGAGAGACTGTTTAAGAAGTATTAATTTAGATGTAAGTAGCTGGATATTCATGACTTGTTTGGTTTTTAACCTAACCCTTGTGACTTTTTTTTTTTTTTACCCAAAATCCAGGAGCCTTACCTCTAAATAACCTAGCAACACAGACAGGGGTTCATTAACTAAAACTGGAGAGTACAAAATCTGGTGCACTTCTACATAGAAACCAATCAGCTTCCAGGTTTTGTTGTCAAAGCTTAATTGAACAAGCAAAAGTTAGAAGCTGATTGGCTACCATGCACAGCTGCACCAGATTCTGAGTGCTTCAGTTTTAGTAAATCTCCCCAGTTAATGATATATACAGATAATTGACCTACCTGACGTGAACATTTTACCAGCGCCAGAAATAACGACTGCTCTACAGCTGGTATCGTCTGATAAGGCACGAAAGCAGAGGACCATCTCCCTGTCAGAAAAAAGAAAAACACATATACCTTACAGATTATCTGGCATTCCTAGCAGATATTAATGATCCACTTCATTAGAGTTACACCATTGTCTATGATGCTTCTCTGCGCAGAGGTTTTTTTACCCTAATGCATTAAGGTAAAAATCTTATCTTTAGAACCACTTTAGCTTTCACCAGCAAAATGAAAGATGATTTCTGATAGGTTGGTATCAGTTGCAAATGGTCTTCTGCCATTCAACATGCAGAAATCTAAAAACAATGTATTGCAATGAAGCTTATACTGGTTTCCTGGAGGTGCTACCAAGTTACCAGATCTCCTCAATTTGCCCCTTTATGTCCATGATCTTTTCATTTCATGGCTACAGTAATCCTTTTAAAAAATACCACAATCTGCAGAGTGGCCTTTGTGGAAGAGGATGAGTATGTTATCTTGCCTCCAGAAAGCTTTGTTCATGGCATTTCTTTTCTCAGGACGGTTTATTTCCACGTGAAAGATGTGATCCCTTGGTGCTGTGACTTTCAGTGTTTCATAGCTATACGATGCCAGTCCTGCCTCAGACGACATGTTCCGTAGTCCCAGGACCGCCTTGTGCAAATCTGAGAATCCAAAGCAGAAGTTTTAGATCAAATGAAACCTAAGCATTCGCATACATACTACAGTCTGACTGTACAATCCCTTTACCAAGGCTTCATAGTGTAATGGTCTACCGAAATGCTCAGTTTAATTTGAATCCAGTTAGGTAGATACCCGCGCTACACAGATGTGGACAAACCTAAAACATTTTACAATCAGATCGTAATGTGTCTGGTCAGCGTAATACCCCTTTTAAAGCAAGCCTACCCTATCTCATATATGTAGAGAAATCTTTCATTGTCATACTGCCTCTACCTATAAAACATCAGTCCCGAAACTATGGCCCATGAGCTGGTTAGGGCCTGCTGGTTGCAGTAAACTGGCCCCTGTAATGGTATCCTGTATGTAGGCTTTTCTCATTGGAAGCTGGAGGGGGAGCTGCTAATGGCAGAGTGGCAGAAGGTGCCAGAACACGCCACGTGCTGGAATGCAGTCAACTACCAGCACAATTGTGTGAAGTGATTTCCTGCCTAAAAGTGCCTGCACAGTCCCAGCCGTCACAAGGATATAGAGTCTGCACAGAAGTGTGCTTCTGAACACCAATGATGGTACACCATTCCTCCCTACTGTTCACCATTGATGGGACACTATATTCTTCTGAAGGACCTCTAAACACAAGCGATGGGGCACTATAATCCTTCTACTGACCACCAATAATAGGACACCATTCCTCCAACTGAACACCAACGATAGGGCACTATATTCCTTCCACTTACCACTGAACACCAATAGTAGGGTACCATTCCTCCCACTGATTACCAAAGATGGGACACTCCATTCCTCCCACTGATACCAAGGATAGGGCACAATCCCTGACACGTCCCACTGAACACCAATGATGGGACACCATTCCTCCCACTGAACAACAATGATAGGGTACTATATTCCTTCCACTTACCACTGAACACCAATAATAGGACACCATTCCTCCCACTGATTGCTGAACACCAATGATGGGACACTCAATTCCTCCTACTGATACCAAGGATAGGGCACAATCCCTGACACTGACCACTGAACACCAATGATAGGGTACTATATTCCTTCCACTTACCAAAGAACACCAATAATAGGACACCATTCCTCCCACTGATTGCTGAACACCAATGATGGCACACTCCATTCCTCCTACTGATATCAAGGATAGGGCACAATCCTTGACACTGCCCACTGGACACCAATGACGAAACACTATATTCCTCCTACTGACACCGGTGATGAGGCGCAATTCCTCCCACTGACATGGAGGCATTTATTACTCCCGCTGACCTCTGACGTCAGGGAATTTTTCATTCCCATGGACCTCTGAAGCGGGAGCATTTTTCACTCCCACTGATCTCTGACAGTTGAGCATTTTTGTTTTTACTCCTACTGGCCACAGTCTAGCCCCCATACAGTACAAAAAGGCATGTAACTGTCCCTTTGATTAAATAAAAAAATTGTCCTATACAGACCATTTCTATGCCAGGATATCCTCTGAAACCTGTTTTACATGCTTTACAGTGACAATATACCCCCATGGTGCCCAACCTAGGCCCTTTGGTATATGATGTACAGCCCTCATCAGTCTGTAGTGGGAACATTAATTAGAGTAATAATGATTTCTACTATCCTCATGTAACATGTTCCCAGTTTCCTATTGTCTTCTGCAGCATATCCCCAGCCAAAAATGTACCATGTCCACACTTTCTGACCCTCATTTCCTCTATTAGATCTGCAGTCTCTGTCCTCTCAAGCATTACAGATATTGAACATTATGTGTGGCCCTTTGTTGGTGTTAGGGGCCGCATCTGAGGCCCCTTTTAATTCATAAATTGACAACCACTGATATAAACCATAACAAGCAACTAAGCAGTTGCCGTCACTTTTTTAAAAAAAAATCAAAAAATGAAACTGTACAAATAAAGGGTAACCATTGTAAGTGGCCCTCACAGTGTTATATAATATATCCCAATCCCTATTGCAGTCAATTGTTTAGCAAAAAAAAAATATACATAAGAGACGTGAAATTAAAAATAAATTCATATACGAATGCCATCAGCCCACATATCAACTGCATAGTTATTAGAATGCCATCATTTTCACAAACCTTGTCTTTAGAAATCCTAAGAATGAGAATTCTTTATTGAATGAAGCCTGTTAACTGCGGGCCACAATTACGGCCCCGAATGCATGAGGCACCACCATTTAGCTGCGGCTGAAGGGGCCCCCCGTCCAGTCCCACTGCTGGCAACCTGCCAAACACTATTTGAGTCTGACAGCCGCTGTGGCTGTATGGGGCTGGGCGGTGCACCTAGAGGTATGTTTAGGGCAATATGCGCCCAGTGTGCATGAAGCCTTACAATCATGTTTCATCTTTTCAAGGAACAAGGGACCTGATTGGTTCCTTTGGATAACAGTTCCACCTTACATTGGATTTCATATATACTTGCAAGGTGCATCAGTCAGCTGATGTGTAACTTTATCACATCCTCAACAACATACATATACACTTTAAGAGGGTTCTTAGGACTAAGTCTAGGTTCACACCTATGCGTTTTCTGCTGCATTTTTCAGAAATGCACAGCAGTCCATTTATTATTATTATACAGTATTTATAAAGCGCCAATAGTTCGCTCAGCGCTGTACATTACAAGGGCCCTGCTCTTTCGAGCTTACAATCTAGGAGGGAGGGGATGGTGGCACAGGAGGAGATAGCTGTGGGGGATGGAGTGGTAGAAAGAGTGGAGGAGGTCGGCAAGTTAGCAGGGGGTGGGGTAGGCTTCCCTGAAGAGATGGGTTTTCAGGGTGCGCCTAAAGGAGAGGAGAGTAGGTGATAATCTGATGGGTTGGGGCAGAGAGTTCCAGAGGATGGGCGACACCCTGGAGAAGTCCTGGAGGCGGGCATGGGAGGAGGGAGACCAGGGAACTAGAGAGAAGGAGGTCCTGTGAGGAGCGGAGTGTGCGTGCTGGGCGGGGCGGTACTTGGATATTAGGTCAGTGATGTAGTTCGGGGCAGTATGGTGGACAGCTTTGTACGCTAGCGTTAGGATTTTGAATTTGATCCGTTGCGCAATCGGAAGCCAGTGGAGGGATTGGCAGAGGGGGGTGGCGGATACAGAGCGGTTGGAAAGGTGAATGAGTCTGGCAGCCGTATTCAGGATCGACTGAAGCGGGGATAGCCAGCGGCGAGGCAGGCCAGTGAGGAGGGAGTTGCAGTAATCGAGTCGTGATATGATGAGGGAGTGGATGAGCTATTTAGTGGTTTCTGGGGTTAGGAACGTGCGGATTTTGGCAATGTTGCGGAGGTGGAGTCTGCACGAGTTTGTTAAAGATTGGACTTGGGGTTGAAAGGATAGGTTGGAGTCCAGAATGACACCAAGTACTCTGGCCTGCAGGGCGGGTTTGATGGTAGCGTTGTTGGATGTGACGGAGAAGTCAATGGGGGGTGGTGTCCGGGCTGGGGGGAAGACAAGAAACTCGGTTTTGGAGAGGTTCAATTTAAGGAAGTGGAGTGACATCCAATCTGATATGTCGCTCAGTAGGTGTGTGATTCGGGCAGAGACCAAGGGGGTGAGGTGGGGGGTTGAGAGATAGATTTGTGTGTCGTCGGCATAGAGGTGGTGTAGTTGAAGCCGTGAGAGTGTATGAGTTGGCCAAGGGAGGAGGTATAGATGGAGAAGAGAAGGGGCCCAAGGACAGAGCCTTGAGGGACCCCAACAGAGAGGGGGAGTGAGGGGGAGGTGGTAGCATTATAGGTAACGCTGAAGGAGCGTTGTGACAGGTAGGATGAGAGCCAGGAGAGAGCAGAATCTCTGAGGCCGAGGGAGTGTAGTTTTTTTGAGGAGGAGGGGGTGGTCAACTGTGTCGAAGGCTGCAGAGAGGTCAAGGAGTAGGAGCACTGAATAGTGGCCATTAGCTTTGGCGGTTAGCAGGTCGTTGGAGAGTTTGAGTAAGGCAGTTTCGGTGGAGTGTAGGGGACGGAAGCCGGACTGTAGGGGGATCGAGGAGGTTGTTGTCGTTGAGGTGAGAGCATAGGCGGGTGTAGACTAGGCGCTCAAGGAGTTTAGATGTAAATGGGAGCAGGGAGATGGGTCTGAGGTTGTTCGGGTCATTAGGGTCCAGGGAGGGCTTTTTAAGTATGGGGGTGATGTGTGCATGTTTCAGAGGGGAGGGGAAAGTGCCGGAGGAGAGGGAGAGATTGAAGATGTGGGTGAGGGAGTGTAGGATGGAGGGGGAAGGAGGTCATAGGAGTTGTGAGGGGATAGGGTCGAGGGGGCAGGTGGTGAGGCGGGCATCAGAGAGGATCTTGGAGACTTCCTCGATGGTAGTAAGGTCAAAGGTGCGGAGTGTTGGGGGAGCTTCAGTATGAGGAATGTAGGGTGGGGTGGAAGAGGAGGTCAGAGCAGTGGTTGGGCCGTGGGAGAGGGGTGATGAGGGGGTAGCTGAGTGAGGGTGAAGGGGGTTGGAGAGAGTTTGAGCAGCGACGAAGTCCCTGCGGGTTATGTCGAGGGGAAGGGGGGATAAGGGGGTAGCTGTGTGAGAGGGGACGGGTTGAGAGGGCGTGTGAGTTGCGGCAATGTCCTTGCGAATTGTGTCAATCTTGTTTTTGAAGTGATTGGCAATCTCAAGGGCAGTGAGTGAGGTGCTGGGTGGAGGTGGGGGTGGAGAGAGTAGAGAGTTGAAGGCGGAGAAGAGTCGGTGAGGATTGGAGGAGAGGGCCTTGATGAGGGTCAAGAAGTAGGCCTGTTTGGCAGCATGGAGGGAGGAGGTGTAGGTGTGGAAGGCAGATTTGTAGCGGGTGAAGGCTTGTTGGGATTTGGTTTTGCGCCATAGTCGCTGCAGGGCACGACTGTGTCGTTTGAGGGTTTTGGTGTGATCAGTCTGCCAGGGCTGGAGCGGTCGGGGTCTGATGTTGCGTGTGGTTAAAGGCGCTAGTGAGTCAAGGGCTGTTGAGAGCGCGTTGTTGTAGGCGGTCATAGCA